TATCAATTCATGTGAATATGACTGAAAATTTTCATTTTTTTCTGAAAAGGTGATGTCTATTTACTTGTGACCACGCTGTGTATTTGTGGTGTAAAAATTATGCTTACATAGTCATAGCGCAGTTGCTTATGGTATTCAACATTTTGGATGTTTATGGATTTTACGTGAACAGCCATGCAATTGTTTAAGCTATATTTCATGCAAATTTTCTTCTAGATTTAATCCTATTTTTCACAAATTTTCTGGGGGGCATGTCCCAAGAACCCCGTAACGTTATCATGCTTTACGTACTGATTGTGGTTCGCACAATATGTGTTCCCATTGATCTCAAAAATGAGATCCTCCTTTGAGACTTTCTACGTACAGGCCTGGCGTGGTCCTTTATTCATCATGTTTTGGGGTTAAATTTATAATGTTCTGTACTTGTGTCATTTGTTAAAAAGTTTTATAGAAGATAATTGCGCAAGTATATTTTTTTGTACATTCAAGGATAAATAATTGGTTTAAGAATCACAGTTACATATATTGCGTTTTATAGGCAATAAAAAGATGATGAATAATTCAAAAAATGTTGTGGTTATTAAGCACAAAGCTACACAATGGGTATCGTAACTCGGATTTGTACCTTTTAACTTTAAACTTACCGATGAGCCAGTGGGGAGCGTATTGATTGTAGTTATCTCAGTTGTATAAGTTAGGCCTAAAGATAAAATCTAACTTGTTTCTCTATCAGACTATGCCTTTGAAGCAATGTAGTTAGATCCCTCTGATAATATAAAATGCTTTAGTATTGCAGTCCTAAATATCAAACTGTACGATTTTTTAGACGCAAATTAAATTATGTTTTGTATTATACTTTGAAATTTTAATATAAATGTTAAAGTTCTACGTTCTAATAATACTTCTATTTGATACTACTGTCCAATGACTACCTATAATATAGGGGAAAATAGTCAGCGATGCCACAGACTTAAAATCTATTGAACCTTGAAAGTAAACGTAACTGTAGGATAACTATGCTATATCTTGCAACGAATTTGATATTATATATTTATTTGAATATCAACATTTGTTTAAATTAAGATAATAATTTAAAACATGCGTAGCTTACAGTGTTAAATATGTATTGCGAAACTCCCGTCTATTCTCCAAAGTTATAGAAGATTCTCGAGAGTAAGATTCAACAATATACGTGTATACCTAAACGCTTAAATGTAGCTCAGTATTGTTACGTAAAACTGAAATTTCACACGTCTATAAATATAACCAACGCGACGCGCCGAAAAAAGAGAGTATCTATTATTAGTTTGCTATAGTAAGTGTGCTATAAACTTCGGAAGCTATAACTGATTATTATAACGCTTATCAATCGGAAAACTTCAGATACTTGCCCAGGAACCTTTACAAAGCTTGAACATTACAAGTCATTTAACTTCAGTGGATTCACATCGGACATTAATATTTTTTACGAAAATATTATCTAACGTCAGCGGTGGAAACTCAATCTCTAATAGACGTATGAACAGTGAAGACTACAGAGCTAGCTAGCTCCCTGTTAAGCGAATCGTACCTACATCAACTCGTAATTAACTCGCTCATCGTGATCCATCGATAAGATATCAAGAAACTTCCAGACTAGAAAGAAGACTCTATATTGTTTGTAAGTTTGTTTATAAATCATTGTTTGTAATAACTATTTGCAATAATTGTTATTGTAAATTTTACTGTTGTGTGTATATTAAAACGTATTTGTGTTAAAAAGAAAACTGTGTATCAATCTTGTTGGCAAATATCATAAACTGAATATATATCGGCTTTTACTTAACTGCTAAATCCAAAGTACAATTTAACTACTAAATTTAAAATATCATTTAACTCGGTCACAGACCATTTGAAATTCTAATACGTAACAAGCTACAGTGTAGTCAGTGATATTTCTTTATTGAATTAATAGTTTAAATTCTAATTAGTTGTAATTATATTATTGTTTCTTTGTTTGTTGTTAAGCGCAAAACTAGACAATGGGCTATCTGTACAGTGCCCATTTCGGGTATCGA